GTTTATGAAAAATACATGAGATTGAGGAATAGTACTGTAATTCTGTTCCAATTTATACGACATGCTTTCCTTTTTTTTTGTTTTTCCTATTTTTGTTAACATTTTCTCTTCTTTCTTTTCCAAAAACAATTGATTATTTTGTTTTCATTAGGACCCATAGCGTTTTTAAATGTCAAGTTGTCTGCTTTCGGTGACAAAGAAAACCATCAACATAATTTACAATTTCAAAATATACTTTTTTCAAGGAGAGCGCCATCTGATATGATTCACTCTTTCTTTTTTAAAATATACTTTTTAAAAGAGTAGATCATCTTTCATTTTCTTTCTATCACCCCACCTACAATTCGTGTTTTTTTTTTCCAGACGTATAATTGAATCCATGGCATCTTCTTCCTCTTTTGCGAGTAATTCACAGGACCGTGCTCGATGGAAGTATGATGTCTTTCTTAGTTTTAGAGGTGCCGACACACGGAGAACATTTACGAGTCACTTGCACGAAGGTTTGAAAAATAGGGGAATATTCACTTTTCAAGATGATAAACTGGTAGATCATGGAAATTCCATCTCAGAAGAAATCGTGAAAGGTATAGAAGAGTCTGAAGTTGCAGTAATCGTTTTCTCAAAGAATTATGCAACGTCAGGGTGGTGCTTGGATGAACTAGTAAAGATTATGAAATGCAAGGTTGAAAATGGACAAATAGTCATACCAGTCTTCTATGATGTGGATCCATCAGATGTTCGACACCAACGTGGGAGATTTGCAGAGGCATTTGCCAAACACGAATATAGGTATAGGTATATGGATGATGTTGAGGGGATGCAAAAGGTGCAAGGATGGAGAACTGCCCTAACTGCTGCCGCAAATCTAAAAAGGATATGATATCCGTGACGGGTTAGTTGAAAACACATGATTTGAATCATAAATTTATTTATCATGAAGACCAGCAACACATATATACTTGCTAATATTTATATCACTTTAATTACTCAATGACATTGTTACATATATATATTTTTAGGAGTTCAATTTATGTGTTTTG